GCAACCTTTCTGTTGTTGTTTCAGAAGCTTCCTGGTAGCAATAACTGATTCCTGACGCCTGATATTAACTGTTGATCCTGAGACTATTCCTTGGAAATAGAGCATCTTAAGGAAATATTCAGTAAGCATCCACAGGACTGTTGTGGTTTAATACTGAACCACTTGACGCCTACTGTTTCCTTGCCCGAGCTAAGAACCACTGGGAAACCCCCTGGGAGCCATTCTTCGGATGTAATCCGCTATAAAAGCCATTTTACGCTGATCAGAAGTTTTTAAGAGAAATATGGTTATCCTCTGCACAGAGATCAGAGTGCAGGAGTAAATCTATTTAAGAAATGTTTCTCTACCTGAAAGTGAATGATGTGCTGCCTGGCCATTTGAACAATCCGAGAGCCAGGCGCTGCTGTATTCTGGTTCCGATCACATCCTCGCGGCATCTGTGGCCCGTAGCTGCCCATTGCCCACCTCCTTCATCTGCTGTCTTCATCATAACTGACCCAGGCAGTGGGGGTGCACATCAGCACCAGGTTCACGCAGGAAAGGAGGGACATAAAAGTAAGGAAGGGGGTCATACGTGTCCAGGGTTCCCAAACTGTAATGAGCACAGGAATCACCTGGAAGTACAGTGAAAAATGTAAATTCTGAACCACTGAGCCTGGGGTGGGACCTGAAATTCGACATGCCTAACAAGTTCGCGGCTGAGGCCAACTCTGCCGGCCTGCGGACTGCACTCAGAGCAGCAAATATCTACTCCTCTCTCCTTACGGGGAATTAACCAAAACTGGAAAAATATTCGGAAGGTTTACTTACTGTTTAGACATTTGTGAGCAGAATATGGTTAAGAAGAGGAAGTGAAAGTCACACCAAGGGATGGCCTGGCATCGTGTAGTAAACTTGGAAGCCAGCGTCCAACAGCGGGCGCCCCGGCCGGCCTGCCTCCTTACAGCTGCTGATGCTGGTTCTTCGAGGGCTGTATTCCATGCTCACCATTTCAGAGAGAAAAGAGATCATGTTTGTGTTAAAATCTTTTACAAATTATTTTTTGCTTCCCTCAAAGCTCAACTTTGGCAAGACAACTTAAGGATGACTGAGAAACAGGAAAGACGGCTTCCTAAATGCGTTTTTTAATTGACAGCTAGGCACTGCTTATCACCCTGTGTAAGGTGGTACTTTCAGAAGTTACTCCATAAATGTCATGAAAGGGGTTCAGCTCACTTGCAAATCACAGAGCAAATACCCAGCTACGGATGAAGGTTTTCTGACGGGTTTTCCTGAGGTGTGGAGGTGCCCGCTGTCTCCGGGCTCAAAGGTGTTCAGGTTCCTGGCAGCAAAGGTCAGTGGGGAAGCGGAGGTTAACACGATCTGCTGAGAACTGGTGAACAGATACAAAGGCAGACATTCTCCAGGTTGTACTATCACAGTGTTCTTCTCTATACGAAATGTGGGCTCTGTTGACTCACTACCAGAATGTTTGCAAGTTAGAAATTAACTTCAAAATCAGCCAAATGTGGGACAACTGCTTCCCTTGGCAGGTTGGCTGGATTTCTGCTTGATAAATCATCGTTCTGATTCCTCACGATAATCTGCGAGAAAGCACGTGGACTTCGCTTCTAGGACCCTCATGGTTTCCAACGAGCACAGACGTTTGTTATATTTCTGTTATAGCTCAGGCACAGGTTATTCTGTAGCATTTCTCTGGAGGAAACCATAACCATAGACATTTAATGAGTCAAACAGCAAAACGTCAGGGAAAGCGCTGATTTATCTTCAGGGCCAAGAAGTCAGAGGATGGAGAGACAGTTAAGTCTGAGAGCTGGCACTGTTAGTGCAGGATCGCGGGGAAAGTGGGTTTTGAAAAAAGAAACACGAGCACTTTCGTTAGTGAAGGGATAGTCGTATTAAATATGCTAGATTCTGAATCCTAAGCAGCTGGACATATTTTTACCTCGCTTTCCAAAATGCTGAAACAAAAAGTTCTTATCTCAAAAAAATGGCATCATATAAATCATGCTACTTGACAGAGAGGTTTTTTTTAAAAAAACATAATTTTTTTTTCAAATCCTCTATGTGCCTTTAGGAAGCTTTCAGTGAATATTGAGAATTAGACTAAGTTTTGATTTTAATGCATAATGTTAAGATGTTCTGCACAGAAGTTTTTAATTAATTAATCCTAATTATTCCATGATTTAATTCTACCCATTAAGTAATTTACTAGAAAGATACATGGTGTATTCGTATTCTCTTGTTCACATCTCTCTGATGGTGCTGAAGGCTTACAGTGAGCCCTGCACTAGGATTAGCTACCTGCATGTCTTCTGCACCGACAAACTATAAACTCTTTGCAAACAAGTACCATAACTTTTTGTTTTGTTTTGTTATTTTTCAACACATCTAACGCACACCTTTGCTTGTTGGGAATTCTACTTCTATTTGCATATTGACAGATCAAATCTGCTGCTCATTAGATAGCAATTTTAGGTGATTCTATCATATGTCTTCATGTGCACGTTCAGAAATGCCTAATGGGCAAAATGATTTTAATACGCAAAGGAAAAAATTCAGTTTAGGAGGTTTTCTATTAACCCACCCCCAAAAAAATCCTATTGAAGAGATTTTGTTTCATTTGTTTGCTTGTTTATTTGGCATTTATGGAGGTTTCAAATTTGGTAGCCTGGTCCATGCAGACACACAGACAAAAGATTGGAACTCATTTTAATACTGCGCTTTGGTCTGTGAGTCTTTGCAAATCTTCCCAAATCGTCACAGAGCAGGACTGATGAGAAGGTCTCTCACCTCACACACACATGTGGCGAAGGCTTCACAGACACAAAAACAAAAAAAGCTTTGACAGTTAATAGTGTAACAGTACTGAGATCTTCAGATACATACATAACGTGAAATTACACGAATCCCATAGTATATGTAAAACACAGATTAACCGTGTAGGTTAATATTAATGAGTGCGAGTTTATTTCACTGAGGAAATAAATTGTCCTCAGCCCCTGACTCACTTTATGCAGCGAGAAGGCTCCACCGACGCTTTAAACTTGGAAGGTGAACTTTCTCTTTTACGATTTCTTGATTGTGCAATTGTGCTGACCTTTTGTGTAAAAAAGTCAACATTGGGTTTTGTCTTGTTTTGGTTTTTGTTTTGTTGCTGAGCTTGCTATCCGGTTCCTGTGTCCTCTTAGCCTCCTGTTCCTCTTTCTTGTGGACTCTTCTGTGTGTCAGTGCTTCTGAGCTCCGCTGCTCATTAACATGTCCCCCACAGAAGGGGATTTTTTTTAATAGAAGAGATTTAAATGAGGCTATCATACAAATATCTAATGGTTTATAATTCTTTTCAAAATGTATAAAAGATCCACAAAGTTCTTGCTTAAAGATGTGGCTTGAAATAACCTTTTCTCCAATACAATGCTAACAGTTTGATAAATGGGAGAGAAAAAAAAATGAAACTCAAACTGTGGAGAAGAACCAGGACACTTATAATCTCATTTTTCATAAAAGATGTCGTGATGGTCACTAAAATTATGCAAAAGTAATACATTGTTTCCAGGGATAAAGGCAAGTAATAATATAAGTAAAATAATATATTTCTTTAAAATGTTGATTATGAAGAGAAAAATACAGGGCACTAGCGTTATGGAGCTAAATCCTCATCTTTCAAACAGGAAATCAACAGACTTTGCATAAAGTTGGTAAATTTATTAACAGACATTGAATCATGTCGCTTAGACTTTGGGAAATGGTAGGGGGGAAGGGAGGGAAAAAAGAATTACTTTCCAAAAGACGATGACAAGCATGAGGAAGGTGTCACGCAGGAAACCCCTGTCGGTATCACTTCCTGCCATGTGCTTCTGTTCTGTTCAATTTGCTACCGTGACGGCATCACTTTGGAAATCATTTTTATTAAAAGACATGAAATACGTTTTCTTATTATCTTACATTCTGATATAACAGCATATTTGTTTTTGTACAAATACATATTTGGAGGCAGAGCAGAGCGGTGGTGAGGAGGATGGAGTGGGCTCTAGAGATGTTCTCAACCAGCACAGGAAGGGAGGACTGACTTCAGGGGCCAGAGACGAGAAAGTGTGTCTCAGAGCCTTTCTCCCTGGGGCTGCACCCCCATGACCTACCTTTTCACTGAAAAAGACCCAGACGGATCCCAGAGCCGGCAGGTCTGAGGGAGAGACTTCGGGAAATACAAGTGCCGAGGAGGGGTCCTCACGGCTGCCTCCCTCAGGGGATTCAAAACTGAAACGAGCAAAGGGAAAAGAAAACACAGGCTTCTGTCTACAGCCACAAAAAGTGGATAAGAAATATAGCCGAGGAAAAATAATAAGGGGCCCCAACAGAAAAGCTTAATCAAGGGACTGGTAATTTGTAATACTGTACGTGTATGTGCGTGTGCATATGCTTTAGAGAAGGTTCATGCAGTAAAAATGCAATTTGAATACACAAATGAATGTAAAACATATTGTAGTGATAGAAAGCTCAGACAAATCTTTATGTTTGGATCATTTTAGTAGCAACAGCTAGTTTACCACCTGGTGGTATATAATCCAGGTCATAGAATTTGGGACACAAAGGAGTGAGTTAAGTAGAACAAGATCACAGCCCATAATTCAAGTCCAGAAAACCGACCAAAAAATGTAAATTGACCCCCAAGAAACCACACTATTAATTCTGATTGATGCTATAAACTCTAATAAAAGGTCGGGCCTGGGAGAGATTTGAAACATTTGGCTAAAAGGAGATTTGAAGACAACTGTCAGATTCATTTTTCAGCTTTATGCCTCAGTGCAAATTGATTCTCTTACTGGGGAAGTGCATGTCTCTGTAATGAAGAAATATTAGCGCATCCTCTGGCGCTCAGTCCTGCAGGGAAAGAATTAATAACTAATCACATAATCTCATCTAGAATTTATTCTTCATAATCCTTAGCGTATAACATGCCTGATACCGTTAAAGGGAGTGACAGTCACACGACTATTAATATTTCTTGTTTTCATTACACTCTTCTTATTTTGGTTTGACTGTGGTGAAAGCAGTCGATTTGAAATGTATTATCAACACTGAGATCTATTAGGGCTGAGTTACCTAGCGGACGTCCAGGAGAAAGTGACGAAAATAATTTTGAAGAGAAAAATAAACTCTTTGCCAGCCTTTTGGACTTCTGCCAAAATCAAAGCAATAAAGATTATGGGGGAAAAAAGGGTTTAAGGATGATGATTTCTAGTTACTTTAAATGGGAACATTGTCCCCTTTCCTTCTAAGTTTCCAGTAATGGAATTAAGTGTCAGAGTTTAGAAATGCTACTTAAAAGGTGTACATATTAAATCGTCATTCTTATTAAGTGGGTATATTACACAAGAAGCTTGGAATACAGGACTTTTGAGCTGAAATAACTCACCAAGTAAGCAAAATTAAATGCCTATGAAGAAAACAAAATAGG